GATTTTAGATGGTATAAAGATGTCTTCTTGTCCCAAGTCCATAGGCTAACTAATTCAAGACAAGCCTATTGGAAAGAACAATTTATTTCAGGCCTTCCCCTGTTGTTTGCCGAAAAGGCAAGAAACCACTTGAGAAATTTAGGTGGGGGAAGATTGTTATACCACAGCTATACATTTGGGTATTTAGTTCTAATTGTCCAACAAGTAGGTTTAGACCTATGTAATGACTTACGCCTAAAAAGGCAAATTAAAAGAGAAAAAACAAATTCTAAAAGAGAGTTAGGAGATTTCTGTTACCAGTTTGGAGTAAGTCCTGAGCTTACAAGTGCTAAACCAACACATAAAAGAAGAAAACCTAAATTTCATAAAAAGAAATATGAGAATAAATAAAGAAAATCAAAATCTTCTAATAAGAAAAATTATAAAACTACCACCTGCTTTAAATGCAGGAAAAGGGACATTTTGCTAATAAATGTTTTAAAAACCCAAAGAGGATTGATGAATTAAATGAAGTAGTTGAAGAAGCTGCCTCTGAAGTTGAAAGAGAAAGAGAAATCTCTATCTCTTTGGAAGTATGTTGTAACAACCAGGGGCTCTGTACTTGTAAATACAAGATAAGTACAAAAGAAGATTTAGATAGCATCAATATGCTATCATTAAATGAAGAACATCTATTACAAATATTAGAAGATATTCTTGATGAGGAAATTAGGAGAAAACATCTACTGATGGCAATACAGAACCATAAAGAAAAGGATAAAAAACAAAATTCTAAAAAAGTTTTCCTTAAAAAAGAAGATATAATTTTATACAGCGAAATTATGAAGAAAGCCTAAGGAACCTCCTCTCGGGCACCTACCTTATCAGACCTAAAGCAAGAGGTCAATAATCTTAAAAATGAAGTTAGATCTCTAAAGATGAGAATCAAAATATTAGAATCTTATAAAGATTCAGTATACAAAGAAGGATCTAATAGATCTTCAGAAATAGGAAATGTAGAACCTGTTGAATTTGTAGGAGATGATGAAGAATTTGTATATTCAATCGAAGAAGTCAAGTACCAAAAATGGTACTCAAAAGTTACAATTAAAATTAAAGATTTTAGTTTCTCATTAATAGCCCTAATTGATTCAGGTGCAGATATAAACTGTATTAGAGAAGGAATTGTGCCTTCTAAATATTTTTAGAAAACTTCCCAGCAAGTGAATGCTGTTGATGGAAGAAAACCAGGGATTAAATACAAAATCCCTATTGCCCAGCCATATTTGCAATCAAGGAACTTGCCTAAAGACTACGTTTCTCATGGTAAGAAACTTAAGGCAAGATGTTATATTAGGAAAACACCCTTCCTACTGTCAATTCTTCCCTGCCAAATAGATTTTACAGGAATTACCGCCACCATAGGTGAAATAGCGGTCACCTACAAGTTCTGCCAAAAGCCAAAAATAACGGCAATAAATACTCTAAAAGAAAACTTAAAAAATAAAGTGAAATTTATCTCTGAATTACAGTTAGAAATAAAAGAAAAATAGTTGGCTAAATCCTTAAAAGAGCCAAAAACCCAACTAGAAATAGAAAAGTTTAAAAAAATATTAGAAAAGGAAATATGTGCTGAAATTTCCAGTGCATTTTGGCACAGAAAAAGGCATATGATAGATTTTCCTTGTGAAGGATATAGTGAAACAAGAATTCCCACTAAAGCCAGACCAATCCAGATGAATGGTAGATTACTAGAAATCTACAAAAAGGAAATTCAAGAATTATTAGCTAAATCTAATTAGACCAAGTAAGTCTCCTTGGAGTTGTCCAGCATTTTATGTAGAAAACATAGCCAAAATAGAAAGAGGAGTACCAAGGCTAGTGATTAATTATAAACCACTCAACAAAGCCTTGGGATGAATCAGATATCCTATCTCTAATAAACAAGACCTAATAAATAGGTTGTATGACGTAGAAATATTGTCCAAGTTCAACCTATAGTCAGGTTACTGGCAAATCCAAATAAGTGAGAAGGACAAGTATAAAACAATCTTCATAGTTCCTTTCGAGCATTATGAATGGAATGTTATGTCCTTCAAATTAAAAAATGCTCCTTCTGAATTCCAAAAAATTATGAATGAAATCTTTAATCCTTACACCCAATTCATCGTAGTTTATATAGATGATGTATTAGTATACTTTCAATAATTGAAATCTCATTGGAAGCATTTGAGTATATTTCTCAGAGTTATGAAAGAAAATGGCTTAGCTGCATCAGCCAGGAAAATGAAACTGTTTCAAACAGAAATAAGATTTTTAGGGTACCAGATATCTAAAGGGAAAATAGCTCCAATTCAGATTTGCGGATAAATTTTCAGATGAAATCAAGGATAAACCCAACTCCAACGATTTCTAGGTAGTCTTAACTATGTAGCAGACTACTATAAAGACCTAGGCAACGATCGCCATCTACTTCAAAAGAGACTAAAGAAAAGTCCCCCTAAATGGGATGAGCAATTCACTCAAACAGTGAGGAGAATAAAGTCTAGGGTGAAAACTCTTCCATGTCTCAATATCCCTTATCCAGAGATCCCAAATATTGTTGAAACTGAACAAAGATTGTTAAAACTGATTCCAGTGAAATAGGATATTGGAGGAATTCTAAAACAACATAGGAATGGAAGAGATGAAATCATCCATTTCACCTCTGGCACCTGGAATGAAACCCAGATAAAATACTCCACTGTCAAAAAAGAAATGTTAAGCATTGTTTTATGCATCTCAAATTTTCAAGGAGATTTAATGAATCAGCATTTTACTTTGCAGATTGATTGCAAATTTGCAAACGAAATTCTTGAAAAAGATATTAAAAATTTGGTTTCAAAACAGATTTTTGCTAGATGGCAAGCTATTTTATCAGTTTTCGATTTTGAAACTAAGTATATTAAAGGATCTGATAATGCAAAAGATGGTCAGCAGGAGCAAAGATCTCCCTCCAAGTCCTAATCAGAGGCATTAACTGCAGTGATGAAACAGGGGTGAGGGAGAGAGAACGAAGGGGACAGAGAAAGAGAGAAAGGGAGAACGAAGGGGACAGAGAGAGAGAGAGAATAGGGCTGAGTTCTTTCTTTTCCAGTTCACCGTCAGGCCACTGCAATTCCTCTCTATCGAGGAGAATAGGGGAGTTGTAGCAGCAGAGCTCTCCTCCTAATCCTTATTGAATCCGACAAAAATCTAAGTTGTCTTCAGTCCCGTTTTTCTTCCCTCGTTATTTTCCCTCATTGTCTCACTGCTCTTTTACTACTGGGATCGTTAGCAGAGCCTTGCATCCTCTAAACTCACTCTTCAAACTGGGAATAACCCGTGGCGCCACGGTTCATAGTCTGAGAAGGGATCTGATCACCGAGGTATTTTGCTCCTGGGTCTGAAAGAACTGATCAAGAACCTGATCCCCACGAAATCTCTGGAGATCTCCATTCCTCCCTCCCTCACGTCTTCCCTCATCTCCATCTCCATCTCCATTGCCATCCCCATCCATGGCCTACCATTCTTAACATCTCCATCTCCAACTGTGAGGTGTGCATGTCCACACCTTCTTGACGTGGTAGGGTTCCTTTCAGTTGCAGATCTTCTTGCATGCTATGACTGTTGCATGTTCAACGGGGAAGGGAGATGGACAGCAGAGGAGATGGTGGGGTTGGCTTGCATGGTGGAGCGGGCGGTGAAGAGACCTACATTGGTTTCTTTTGAAATCTCAGATCTGCATTCCTTGCAGATCTGAGAGATACGTAGCAGCAGAGATAAGCATATCCAAATTTCTTCACCAGTCCGGATGGCACCTTCTGAATTTCAGGACCATCGAAGGCTCCGATGCTAGAGTCGCCTTACAGTTTCCGGTTGAATCGGAAACCATGCTGTCTGATAGATCTTGGAGAGATCTTCGTTTTTCGCTTTGTTTTTGACTTCTCGTATTTTCTCTCTAATTTGAAAATTGCAGGTCAAGCCTCAACATTCTAAGAAAGGTGTCAAAAGTTTTATTTTGAAAATTTAAAGAATGATGGGCAAAATAGTCTTTTTAATTCTTCCGTTAATGGCCACTAATGATAAGGAAGATTTATTCAATTGTCAAAAACAGTAGGGGTACTATAAGACAATACTGAAACAGTAGGAGTATGGTTAGTCAATTTCCTAAACCTTAGGGGTAGTTTAAGAAATTTTCCCTAAACTAAAAATGCAGTAAGAAATTACATTACAATTTATTCATAAAAATAAAAAACAATACAATTTGCCCTTGCGTTGAACCTAAACATCTTGAAGACAATACCAACAACTTGGGTCTCGTGTGTTCGGATAAGAGAAGGGCAGAGTTGTAGACAGCGAGAATATTATTATATACCCACTTAAAGATAAATTGAGGGTTGTAGACAACAAGAATATAAACCCACCTAAAGAGATTTTTTTTTTTTTTTTTTTTCTGGATCATTCTTCATTCTCTCTGCACATTTCTACTGAAGAGAAGCTCAGTTTAGCACATCATAATTCTAGTCCCCAAATTCCCTTTTCCCTCAAAACATGGTGGATCATAGCCATCTTGGTTTACAAAATTATAGAAAGAAAAAAAGTGGTGATTTTGTATCACTGAACCCAACAAATTATTTATATCAATTGTCAAGTGTAGCATTAGTTACTTTAATTTTACTTTTGAAAAAAGTTCAAAAGGTAGCAAATGTTGTAATCATGGCTATAAAGGCAAGCATTTGGCAAGGTTTAACTCGTCTTAAGATTTTGTGATTGAACATTTAAATCCATACATTGGATGTCTTATTCTTTATTCGTATGTGTTTTCTATAATTTGTTGGCACTTTATTAATCGGCATCTTCACGATTCTCTGTTAGTAGAGTGAACTATGTATAGGTAGTTGTTCCAAGAAGGCCATTACGTTTATTTTTCCCTTGTATTACGTTGTTATGTGTTCATTTGCTATCATATTTCCTAGTTAAACTGTAGATTCGTTTTACAGGCTGGAGATGAACTCGGTTTACCTGCTGTACCTCGAGCATCCATTCGTGGATAGGGGGCTTAGTCACGATTCTTTGTGCAGTAACTGATATTTTGCACAGTGACCAATGATTGGTTTTTATTTGAAATTTGGTTGCTTCTCTGAAATAATTTTGAGGGTTGGGTTGGCTGGTGAAGTCAAATTAGGCACTACTGTAGAAGTAATTGGAGGAACAGAATTAAAATTCAGACAGAGAATGGTCAGGTTGGGTTCAATATCCCATTTTCTTAGATGAATATCTCCTAAACATTATTGTTAGATATTGCAAATCAAGGTTAGCTGTGTTTAATTAATAAGGTTGCTGGTAATCAGATTACTATAACAAAAATTGGAAGCCATATGCACACATTTTTAATCATCACCAAACCGCCAGATTACGATAGTAGAAGCAGATTATATCAATATAATGAAATTGTTATTGCAGAAATCACATAACCAGAAATATCTTTTTCTTTTTTATTTGGGAAAATTCTCAATTAGTATCCTGTACTTTTGGCCTAGTGCCACTTTTGGTCCCCGAACTTTAAAACGTGTTAATTCAGTATTTGAATTTTCAAAATGTGTCAATCCAGTACTTGTTAGCAACCCGTTAATTAGATGTTAAGTGGCATTTGAAAAGACACAAATGCCTTTCGAGTGTTATTTAATTATCTTTATCAAACATCCAAACATTGATAAAAAAATGAATAGCTTCAAATTCTTGCCTCTTCTATTCAAAAAAGTTGGAGCCACATCTCAGTGGGTATTTTGGCAACTCCAATTTTCTTGAATAGAAGAGGCAAGGATTTGGGACTATTCATTTTTTTATCAATGTTTGGATGGTTGATAAAGAAAATTAGATGACACTTGAAGGGCATTTGTATCTTTTTCAAATTTCACACAAGTGACTCCAACTTTTTTGAATATAAGAGGCAATGATTTGGGAATGTTCATTTTTTATCAATGTTTGGATGGTTGATAGTTGATAAAATTAGATGATACTCGAAGGGCATTTGTATCTTTTTCAAATTCCACATAACAGTTGATTAACGGGCTGGTTAACGACATATAGTGGATTAACATGTTTTGAAAATTTGAATACTGAATTATCGCATTTTAAAATTCGAAAATCAAAGTGGCACTAGGCCCAAAGTATAAGGTACTACTTGGGAATTTTCCTTTTTTTTTATTTTTATGAATGACTTGTAAATTATATGATGTAGGTGCTCTGAAAATACAAAACCCAAGCTTGCGTGGATGATTAATAAGAAAATGTAACAAGCGTTGTCTTCGTAGCTTGAACGAATATCATGTTGCTTTCCATACAGGACTGATAAGAAAATGTAAAAAGTACTATCGTCGTAGCTTATATTATAGTTTGTAAAATTATCCAGCCGTAGCTTATATTATAGCTTGTTCAGGTAAGTGAGTGTTGGTTTTGGTATGTGCGTACCGGTAAACTGTTTAACTATCTTATAGGAGGGTATTAGTTATGCAGGTAGAGGTAACTGATCCTCTGGTATCCAATAGGGGTAAGGTACATAGGGCCACATGATACAGTACAGTCGTGTATTGGAAACACCTTACTTAAATGATGGTGATAGATGTTTTCAATGCATGATGGCTGTTGTAAGTTCTTGTGGGGAATTCAGATGGGCTTTCTCACATTTGAGTGGGCCTGGGCTAAAACCCAAACCTAAAACAGTGTAAAGTCGGGCCTGAAACCTGGCCCATGAACCAGGTCGTTGCTAGTATATATTAAGTATACAAATACAATACGTTGGGGCTCGAGTTGGATTATCTTGTGGGCCAAATTCCTGTCGGACCAAATTAAAGTTAGTTGGATACGGGTATAATCTAGCCCAATTGAACTTATTAAAGGATCTTTTCAAAGGGAAAGAATGAAAAACTGGGAGATTAGGTTTAGTTTGGGAGTACAAATATAAATATGTATGGGTACAGCACAATACAAGGTTTAGAAATATAAAATATAAGGTTTTGCATTGCATATATTTGTATTTATATTCTTCCCAAACTGAGTCCCAGGGATAGCAACGCATAGTGGACTGTGAAACCAACGAAAACGTTCCATGCCAGTAATATATTCATGGGCCCTGTCAAATGTGTGGATTCCATATATTTTATTACTGGTGTGGACCACTATCATTGGTTCCAGTCATCACGTTCAGCTAATCCTTTCTTGTCCAATACATAGGGATAATGGACAGAATCAATTGACTCCAATTCGATCTAACATGTTCATAATAAGGAACTGGTTTACTTCTGATCCAACAAATGGGTCTGATTCGTTCTAGTCTCTTTTTTCCCTTTTTTTTTACATACAAATTTATTGAAATAATCCCATTTTAACTCAACAAATACATATTTCACTAATTTTGTATGTAAAATTACTGAGATGATCATGTTAAGTTAAAACAGAGTTATTTTAATAATTTTGTATGTAAAATAATTTATGATGAGGGCAGATTTGGCCCCCCAGTGAAATTGCGACACGTGGCATCTCGTGACAACTAGGCAAGCCCCCAGGCAACAACTTACCAAGTTGGTCCCCCCCGGGCACCGGTCTGGCTGGCCTGGCGTGGCCTGCGCGTGACCTGC